GTGCTTCACATGTGTGAAGCAAGTACTCTGCCACTGAGCTAGGCCCCAGCCCCCAGTTTTAGTTTTAATTTGTTGGTTCATTCCACATTCACCAACTTCAATCAGAGAGGCTGAAACATTTTATAACATATACATGATATATGTACAATACACACAGCAAATGAGGCAAATTACACCTCACACTAAACCTGCAGTCAACTGAAAGCAATTTTCACATGTCTTTCAGTGAAAACTAAGTTGTTCCTAACCAAATAGAATAATCTGATTGTAGAGTTGACTTTTCTTTTCCTTCCTTTCTCTTTTAACCCGAGAACACCACATTTTGTTTATACCAATTTGATGTGATCTTCTTGGACGCAATTTGTCTTGTTAGAATCCCTGTAGAAACTCACTCTGTCTTCAACCACATTAGCACCCCTCCCAGAGGACTTCCATCATGCAAAACCCTGTGGTGTGGCTCCCAGGGAACAAATACAGTCTCCACCTACAGGAACCTTATGGATTAATTTAAACAGAGATCTCCACCAGAACATCGGACATCAATCCATAAATCAGTACCTTATGGACAGGGTAGTTCAAGCAATTCAAAACATATCTTCCTATACCATTCAGCCCATACATTTTCATCTTAGTCAAAGGGATTTCAAGAGAGGGATTGTCAACTACATTACTGAAATTCTCAAACTGTTTGACCTACCAGATGAGGAGCCCTAACTGTGAAAGTTCAGATGAGGTGAAGTGTAGCCTGGCCACAGCTCTGTTGTCCATGTAGTCTACCAATAAATACAATGCTAGCACTGTAGAGCCCAAAGACAGATCAAACAGAAAACAAAAATCAGTTTACTTGTAATCCAATATCAACTAAAATCACCACAGCTACCAACAATTTAGGTTGAATTTTATTCTCTAGAAAGATATGTTCTAGGCCCAGCTCACAGGACCCGTGAATGAGAAATCATCTGGAAACAGGGTCTTGGCAGACATTCTCTAGTTTATATGGTAGCCCAAATCTAATAACTAGGGCCCTTCTAAGAAGAAGGAAATTTGGACACACATACCAACCCACAGGCAAGAAGGCCACAGAAGAACAGAGGCAGAGATTCCGCCACAAGTCAAGGAAGGCCAAGGACTGCTGGAAAATTCCAGACTAGCAGAGGCCAGGAAGGATTCTGCCTTAGAGACATCAGATGGAGCACACCACTGCCCATGCCTTAATTTTGGATTTTGTTCTCCAGAATTCTGAGACAAAAGAATTTTAGGGTGGTCTCTTTTTTATATTTCAAAATTTGTATTTATAATTAACACATAATAATTTTATGTGTTTATGGGGTACTGTGTGAGGTTTCAGTATATGTATACACAGCATAATGACCAAGAAATTAGCATATTCTTCATCCCAGAAATTTATCTTTGTGTGTTTGTGTGTGTGTGTGTGTGTGTGTGTGTTAACATTCAAGATTCTCATTTCAACCAATTCCTCTTATTTTAAGCCACCCAGTTTATGGTACTTTGTTATGGCAACCCCAGGACACTAATGCAACAACCAATGCAATCAACAATATGTAAGCTTAAAATAATGCCTATTGACATCAGAATCAGGAACACTTGGAAACTGACTGATAAAGCAATCAAGATCTTAGAAAAGTAAAGAGAGATTGAGAGATACTTAAGGCTATAGATAGTGGGTGGGAGGGATCAGCAGGGGTGAGCCACCCATGGCAGTGAGGTGAATGGGTGAAGAAACTGGCAAAGTAAGTGAGGGGACATTGGCTTTGAGGACAAGGAGGTGGACAAACTGTGACATACAGTGTCAGGCTCATCACCAAGGAGTGAATGAATGCCAGGTGGACATTTCTCAAGACAATCCTGTCACTTTTGAATGGCAAAAACAAATCATAAACTCATCAGTTTGTCATCAACATCTAAGCAACACTATGCTGAGCTTCCTGTCTCCAATTTGGCATTTTCCCTGAGAATGTTTCATCATTCTAAATTAGACAGCAGGCCAAGCATAGGAAGGATCTGTCGGCCTCTCTGTCTGTCTCTATATATAGTGTTCTATCCACCATTTCGAAGGTGCTAAGACTCCACTGATTGATGACGATGTCGCTAAAATGGTTACATTCTGAACTAGAACAAGGAAGGGGTTTTATTCCGCATGTGAAAACTTTGGGGAGGAAAGAGGATCCCTCACAGTTTCTAATATCGATCTGGCTCCCTCGTGACCCTGTGAATTATGAGTCTATAATGGCAAAACCCTTTACTGGAAAGACCTTAAGCTACATCCCTAGGAGCTTTCCCAGCAATAATTAGGGGGATGTATTATTGCTAATCCCAAACTCACTGGGAGCTGGGTTAATTTTGAAAGATAAAATAAAAGTGCTGCCTCTCAGCAAAAGGCCACTTCTTGGCGCCATTAAATCAAGCGCAGCCCTGCTCAGGGCTGAGAGTAATAATTCTGAAGATGTCTGTACCCCCCGCTGACACGCCTTTGAGGAAGAGGCTGTGGAACAGGCCAAATGAAGCATCAATTTGCAAATACCATTTAGCAAGTACAGATAAGCTGGGCTAAATCATGCTCGGAGCACTTAAAAAAAAAAAGATTCGAATTTTAATACATTAGCACCAGAACATGCTGTACAAGCAACAGGAAAATTGCAGTTGTCAACGTGTGAATTTAGTTTCAGGGTAAGTTCACCCAAGGAAGTAAAAGCTCGATTTAGATTCTTTTCCTATCCGACTCTCCAACCCCCCCCACCACCACCATATCCACGTGCTTCTTTTAGAATGAGGGAGGACACGTGACTCAGGAATGGATTTCACACCAAGAAATGTTTAGGGCACCTTCATCAGGGGAAAGGATGCGGAGTGCTCACAAAAATGGGGTGCAGTAGCCTTCCTTTCAGGGAGTCAAGCCACAAAAGAAGGATGAGGGGTATGTGTGTGTGTGTGTGTGTGTGTATGTATGTGTTCCCACACACGTGCACACACACATGCACGTGTATAAAAGTACATGTGTACGTGTGCTCACGTGTACATGTCTTTTCTTAAGGAGAAAGCATTCTAAGGGAAATTTGCAAGGGATTTTCTGACAATGTGCTATTGTACTTCTCAGAAAGTCTCCCTGCCCATCAGTGCCAGTGAACAGGAGGAGGAGGAGGTGGCACCTCCTGAGTTGAAAGCACAGTGTCAACTGGGGAAGCTTAGCTAGCTGTGTGGGTGCCCCCAGTGTGGCCCTAGGTCTACCTGGAGGGCTGAATAATGACCAGAGAGCCTGGGAACCCATAGCCAACTCTGCTGATTGGAAACTAAGCTTTCTTCCAGTTTGCATTCGACAGTCTGTTTTCTATATTAAAGCAACAAATGGATTTTCATTTCAGAACGCATCTGGTCTCAGACCATTCTATCAGAAGCAGCTATTTTCTTTAAATTGAAAGTCAAAGTCGTTTATTTTTCTCAAAACTGTGCTGTCAGCTCTTCTGCCTGACTGGAAATATTCACTTGTTCTACACAATGACAAAGCTGCCTTCTCCTTAAGTAGACGTAGGCACAGGGAGACCCCCATGAGGACACCTTACCTGTGATGTTTTTACATACATCTTTGTCTCAAAGGGCACATCTATCAGTTAGAAAGATGGAATGCATTTATTTTAGAGGACAAGAGATGTCAAACTACTCTTCAGTTAGGATCCTTGAACCAAAACAAATCTCTTCAAATGAACACACACACACACACACACACTTTCATTGGGCACTTGTAATTTTAATAATAATGGAGCAATTATCGTATCCCTCCCAACATAGCTTAAATCATTTTTATATATGAAACAATTGTAAAATGTTTAAATGCATACAACTAATAATACATATACAACCCTGTGTTGCTTAATGATGTGAACATGTTTGGAGAACAGCATCATTAGCTGATCTAGTTGTATGAACATCATAGAATGTGCTTAAACTGGAATGACTATGGTATCACTAAGTGATATAATCTTATGGAATAACTCTTATATATGTATATGTGATTCGTCATTGACCAAAATGTTGTTATGTGGCCAATGACTGTGCATACATATAATGTAGATACTACATGTGAACATGTGTCTGCAGTGTTTGAGTGAGACCACTACATTACTTCACGGATCTTATCAGTCAAGTATTGCCCATCCACTTTGTCAAAAGCTCAATAATTTGTTCTTTCAGGATAATGGAGCAAAAAAAAAAAAAATTCATTATCATTTCAAAAAGTACTTCCAGCTAGACAGAATTTGAATTGTCAATAAATGCAAAATTTCCCTAATGAAGTATTAGCAAGGATGGGTCTCTTAATTAAAATAATCTTTTCTGTAAAAAATATTCGTTTAAGAAATGATGCATAATACCAAAAAAAAAAAATTCTCAAAGTCACAACCTTTCATATTCATTTCCCCTTTTTATCGGTTGTCCCTTCTTTATCAGTTAGAGAGGGTGGCATTTAGTGTATTAATGGAAGGAAGCGTCTTTCCTCTTTTCTCAATACCTCACACAGATGCTAATGACACACAAATTCCAAAGTTTTACAGGAAAGGGGACACCAAACCATTTTCTCAGTTAGGAATTCAAGGAGGCCACATGAAAGCTGAGCTTAGAAACATACTCAATAATTTTATGATCACAAATCCCTCCACTATAAATTTTGAGAAAAAAAATATACAATTAAAAATGTAGAAATCCAAGAGTGGTTTTCTATAAAACATCAACCTAGATATTAAATGGTTATAAATTAGCCCTTAATAATTTATTCTTCTAAATGACTAGCCTTTCCAATTATCATTTCATCTGTTTTCTATATTTTAAAAAAATCAAAGAAATTCAAGATATAGGAAAGACATGCTGGTTGGGGATCTGAAACTGATTTGGTAGCTTTGGAGTTGACATAATCTTGGCCTGGTACAGCTCATTTTGGAAAGCTGCCTCAAATTTCCCCTGGTTTTGAACTTTTTTTTTTTTTTCCTTACCACTTTCATCTAGCAAGAAATCATCCTGGTAACGGAACTTCTCCGGTCCACATGCAATAAAAATGTCATCGTCACCAAAAAAGTCCTGAAGGCACATCACCTACAAGAGAAAAGCATGGTACTCAGCGAGGGGTCGCAGAACAGCAATTACAACAATGCATCCCTACAAGCAGACATCTGCATAAAGCTACTTCCCTCCTAATAGAATCAACAGGACAGCTTCTCCAGAGGAATTTCAAAGGAAGGGCTCAAGCATCTGTTACTAGTAAGAAACATGTTACATTTCAGTTCTGCAGGAAGACTGGATAAGGCAAATAGAACCGGTAACTGTCACATTTATTACTTGATATATCAATAGGCTATGAGGTAAGAGCCCTTTGTTTCCATAATAGAGTGGATGCAAAAACATGTGGGAAGGGAGGTCCCCCCTTACTCTTCTGAACGCAAAACTCCTTGACAGCAACAAAAGTCAGCATATGGTTTTAGCAACAAATATGTTTTTTAGTAATTGAGGCCATTGTACGTGCGCGATAATCATCGAAGAAAAATATTGGTGTCATAATATGAACCTAAAAATTTCCTTTAAACCCATTCCACCTCTGCTTGAAAGAAAAATGGAACCCTTCATAAAGGGAATAATTGTAAAACTAAGTAATTGCTGAGCTCTAGTTATGGAGACTGCCAGCCCACCACCCAAGGTATGCTAAACACTTCAACCCCCAGACCCTCCAGCTTCTCGCTGCAAAAAGTAGAGTCCCAATGCAAATTTGTGGCATTTTTTTTCCCACTTACTCTCCAATAAGAACTTTAAGAGTGGTAAATGTTACTTTACAAGAAACTGTAGTCAAAATGAATAGTTCCCAAGCATATTGCTGTCGGTCTTGGGAGAAGCTAATAATGTTTTGTTCACAGTTTGTACAATGCCAATGCTGAGAATACTGCTGACTTCTGTCTCTCTGCAATTTCCTTTGATCACTTGAGCAAATCATAAGGTGGCCAATTGAAGGCACCTTTCCAAAGCTCTCTGAAATAGACTTTAGAATAGCATTTTCCCCTTGGGCATCTGAGGACAAGAGACAGACTCTTCTAAAATATTTGATGCTTATTATCCACATCTCCCATATTTCTCTGGAGTTTCATCTGTGAGCACCTCTGGGGTTCTGTATTTTTGCAGTCCCTGATGACACTACTTCGGCACATCACATGTGCCAGAAGACACCGAGTTGTAAATTGGGAGAACATGGCATTATTTGGAGTCCCCAAATGCAACGATGTATGGGCTTCAGATAGTCTTTGTAAATCATGTCACATTTCCAAATAATCATTGAAGATTTAAAAATAACTTTTTTTCCTCTAGCAGTTTGATAAGCAATACTAAGGTGCAGCCATAGTTGGGTGCATTTTAAGAGAGCTTGAAGATGCAGGTGGTTTAAAAGGAATGTTGTAATCACGGAAGAAGATGGACCCAAGGGCTCTGAAGATCTGATTTTCCATTGGTTTAAAAAGAGGCCTTTTGAATTCCAAGCCTGCCCTCTGTGTCACTCTTCTCTCTCTCATTCCAATCCCACTCATTTTTACCTTCATGATGCCCCAGCTTTCTCTATCAGCATTGGGGTCATCTCAACCAATCTCATGCAAGCCACTTCCTTTTTTTTCTTTTCTTTTTTGGTACTGAGGGTTGAACCCAGTGGTGTTTAACCACTGGGCTACATCCCCAGCACCCCCACCACCCTTTTTAAAGATAGGATCTCCCTAAGTTGCTTAGGACCTTGCTACATGGCTGAGGCTGGTCTCAATTTGCAATTCTCCGGCCTCAGCCTCCTGAGTCACTAGGATTACGGGGGTGTGCCACCATGCCAGGCAAAATCATTTTCCTTCTTCATGCATAAGTCTTTACTGAATGCCCATTGTATGCCAGCAGCACATAGCATTAACATACAAAATAAATAAGACATGGGCTAGGGGTATAATTCAGTGGTAGAGCACTTGCCTAGGGTACATAAGGCCCTGGGATCAATTCCCAGTACAACCTCAACAAAAGACATGATCTCTCTCTCAGACAAAAATGTGGACAATGAACCACCAAGAGCTGTATTTCCTAAAGTGTGGGTGGTGAACAGGTCTTGTACAAAAGAAGTTTCTAAGGCCAAATATCTCACATCAGGTTTACCCAATGTAAAGAGGTTCCTTTGTTTCTGAACTTGGAAAAACCCTTTCGTGTGCTAATGTATACCTGGACTCCAAAGAGGAGACAGGTAAATCCGGTATGTCCCAAAGTTATTTGATTCTAGAACTGCTTTCTCAACATACATCCCAGTGTTTACTGTTCCCTTTGAACCTATGCTGACAACCGGCTCACCACCCCCCTCCGTGGAAAACAAAAACCTTAGGAAACACAAAGGACAGAACAGTTACCCACCTTCTTCCCAAGCACCTGTTTCTCTAGTAATAAATATTTATTTGCTAATTTGTTTACTAACTCAAATGGGCCTACTGTGCCCACATTCTATGCCAACTGTTACAATGACAAATTTCTGAGAGATGAAAGTACTGTTTTCTAAGAAAATAGTCTTTCCTTTCTGCATATTCTCACCTTTTGCATTTTAGAACATCAGGTTGCTACCTGAACTGGATTCACCTATGTGTGCATGTTTGATGTTACTGCTAAGTGGACAGATAACTATCATGAAAAGTACAACATGTTATAAGTGGGTTTCCAGCCAACTGACATCCATCATTTTGCTGATGATCATTCTCTAAGACTTAAAGAACAGAACACAGAAAGATCCATCTTGGATGGTTTAGGCATAATTCTGTTGGCAAGTGGGAAACGAAACATGATGAACTTTTGATGTTCTTTCCAACACCAGGATTCTGAGGATATGAAAGGAACCCAGTGATTGTTAAGGAAAAGTAACTGTCATCACCCAGCACAAAAAGGCCAGGGCAATTCATTCCAGTGACTTTTACCTCTCAGGCTTCAATGGTTGAAATCAAAGAATTTGTTGAACTATCAGAAACTCTGCTGTTTTCTGTGCTTTCTGCTCTCAATCATTTGGCCTCATTCCTGCTCACAACTTCCCATCGGAAATGATGGGTAAGGTCAATAGTTGAAATTCAAACACGAAACGGCTCCTTGACAGAAGACTTGAAGGAGTTGAGGGCAAAGGAGGCTGAGACACAAGGTTACAATACAGATGGATTTAGGATCATTGCTCTGTGTCAATTTATTCATGCTCTGACGCTCCACCATTGATCTAGAGTTAGCTATAATGCCTTCCATCTAGCAAAAAGAATAACAAGAAGATTTATAACCCTTTTTCTCTAAGCAACTACACTTCAAGAATCTTCCTTGAGGCTTTAGTGTGCATTCTGATATCAAGGGATTATAAAAAGTAGAGAAATGTAAAACCTGCATTTTGCATAATAACCTGACTTTATATATCTATAAAGTGTTAATCCCTTTTAAATTTGATGTGCTCAAAATTCAGCGTGGTTAGCAGCTTAAAAAAATGAGTTCCATTTTTGGGTGGAAAACATGCTTCTTTGCCACAAGGGGATAGTGACAGTTGGCCTCTTCTATCATGAAATCTCTGCTCAGTGGATATCAGATGTTGCAAGCATTTATCAAGGTCAGATATAGAGCAGATGCAAAGGTAGAGATACCAATTTTGAGAACAGACATGTCCAGCCTATGAAGAGCATCCTTCTAAGCTCCTCCTGCCCCTCTCCCAAGGCCTGGTGCCAGTGCCTGCTCTTCCCAGTTGTCCCCCTGTGGTCATGGGTTGTGTTTGTGCAACATTTCTGAAGCCCACCTCTTTCCCTACCCTCCTTTCCTTTATCCAAAGTTCATCTTTCTGTCTCTAGACATTGGCAATTCCCTCTTGTGAATTTTCTCACCGCCCCCCACCCTGCCTTCTTTCTTTCCAACGCATCACCCCTAATTTTGTCAGTCTACTCAGCCTACTCTTCCTTAGTAAATTTTTGAAATCACTCTCCATGGCTCAGGAAACCATTCATGGCTTACAATCATCAAATTCAAGTTCATCTTTTTGATCTTGGCATTCCAGATGCCTCAAAATCTGGCTCTAACCTATCTTTGATGCTTCCAGTTTTTTAAGATGTGATATAGTACCTGGTGTGTAATAAGCTTTTGTTGAATGAATGGATGGAAGGATGGATGGATGGATGAATGGATGGGTGGAAGGATGGATAGATGGACAGGCTATGCTCTAAAGTGAATTATGTTCCAATTTATCTGCGTTACTTTTTCTTCTCTAAATAAGGGCTTATTCTTTCCTGCTTATGTGGTTTCTTGTGTTTTCTTTTTGTTTGTTTGTTTGTTTGGGGGTTGTTGTGGTTTTTGTTGTTGTTGTTGTTTGTTTTTATGAAAAAGTTTTCCCTATTTTGCATCCATTCCTACTGACTCTTCATTATTTAAATCCTTCCTATGGGCCAAGTTCAGTTGAAGATTCAAGCCCTACCTCTCCATCTACTCCAGTCCAAAGGCACTCATCCCTGCTCAGAAGCTCTAGTCATCATTCAATAAAAGTTCATTGTTAGCCACTGTGATGATCCTTGAGACTACAACTGTCCTTAGGCTTTACCTTTTCCTTTTTAGTACATGTGTCTACAGACTTATCTTCCCAAGAATTCCTAAGATACTGCTGTAAATCAGTAACTCAATAAAGGGCAACTTGCATTATGTTCCAGTGATTTTGTCCAAGGCCTGAAGTCAGATGATTTGAATTCCATCTCTTTGCTCTGTTGTCATCTATGACTTGAGCAAGTCAGGAAATCCCAAACAGCTGTCTTGAGTCCTGTTTCTAAAATCCTAAAGCCAATCAGAGCAGAGGCTGAGTCTCCTATTGGGTGCTCTTCTTTAGCACTACAAAGATGTTGCTATTCCCCAAGAGCACAGCACTGCTGACATAGACAGGATTTAGAGTTAATCCAAATCTGCAATTTATGATGTTAATCTCTTCCTTTGTGCCTCAGTTTATCATATCAATTGTTTTAAAGATTAGATGAATTAAGACAATGAATAAGATGTGAACAAGATCTCAATACATTTTTGCTACTTTAATTTTGTTTATTAAT